GTGCACATTCGCGCGACGAGAGGCAAGGATAGGGTAATACGGATCATCGAAGCTTCTAACGATCCAGTTCGCGCTCCAGCAACTCGGAGACGATTCGCGTTCTTTAATCGCGAAGCACGGGAAAACGCGAAAATCCATAATTAGCCGAGCGAAAACGTGGAAAAGTGGCGCGCGTTTCCATTGGGACGCGCGAAGGGGTTTGATCGCGGCCGGTTTTACAAGTTGCACGATGGCAATTTTATTCGATGGATCGGTGGAGCGCCATCGCATGATGATCGGTATTACGCTATTTGCTCTCTGGTACAGACGACCCAGTCTCGGCACGGTTGCACATCAGCCACGCAAACGAGGAGCCGGTTGCCGACGTTACCTCATTACAGACAGTAAGAAAAACAAAGAAGACTCGTTCCCCCTACGCTGCTACGATCTCTGTCGCACCTCACCTTGCTGCCTCCACGCTTCGTACCATCGTATGAATCGATAATCTTTGAATAATCTTTCCAGCGCTTAGAGAACCAAACGATTTTTCCTGCCGAATTTATCGTGGATTTACCAATTTCAACTCGACACACCGCGTTAAGTTGGAAAAATGTCTTGATCGATTCAAAGTCATGTTTAAAAGTGTTTGAAAACGTGTTCGAAGAAATGCGAGTAAAGACGAAGGATCGATCGATCAAGCAGTCAAGGACAACTATTTCACATTGGAAAAAGAATGAAGAAAAAATTCGTTTCTCTTTCGATCAAGCATAAAGAACGGGGAGGGCGATAAATTTTCAAAATCCGTGCCTTGTCCCGGTGTCGTTGCGACGTTCCCCATCGAGAGCGGGAAAAATCTCGGTCGGAAGTCGATGGCTCGCTCGCGTGACCCGTTCACGTACGGCCGGAAAACAGGTGCGATCGCGTATCGTCCCAGGAACAAACACACACGGGCCTCGAGGTGTGCGTGCTGACGTCACGTATCTCAGTCCGTTACGCCGTAGATTTGCTCGTGTACGAGTTAAATCCGCCACGCTTCCGGCGAGCATCGCAGCTCCGCGAGATATCGTCGGATTTACCCCGTCCGTATCTTTCGTGTGCGCGTTGCCTCCTATGGGTTGCAGGCCCTTTTTAAACCGTGTCAGACGAGATCCGGTTAATCCTTCCTCCTCGCGACGAGAACGATCGCACCGGCCCGTATTTGTCACGAGCAACCCCTACCGTTGCCGGGTTAATTAGTTTCGAAGAGAACTCGCCGGAATGAAGAAAGTTCCCGATGGTGGAGAACGTGTGGAATTTTGTCGAGATTATAGAAGGACGGGGGAACGGAGGGTTGGGGGGGGGGCAATTACGGAGCAAGGTGTTTTGCACAAGGTTTCGTGAGATTTGAGTTAACCCTTTGTTTACTGGTAAACTGTGTGTTACCTTTGTAATCGAAACGTGTCGAAACGACGTTGAATCAACAGCGATAACTTCTCAGATCTATCTCCGATGTTCAATCTATCCGCTATCCGTGAATTCGACAATATTAAGCACACATCCACGTCTACTAGACCTCGATCCGTTTCGTAATTTTCAATCGGAATGTGACAACGGATATTACATCAACAGTCGAATTACATCAGATCGTGTCACAAATACACGATCCCGTCAGGAAATACTTCAAACGACATCATCGCCCCCTAAACGCTCGATTCACACGTATACACCACGTATCCACGTAAGAAGACACAACACACTTGATCCATCCCCTTGCGTATCAGTAAACGAAGGGTTAAGAGGGAACGGCGAATGGTTCGATTTTTCCAGTACTTGGCGTCCGGTCGAAGCTGGGCGATTGTCGATAGGCAGCCGGCAGTAACAGTGCCACGTGAATCCTCTCCAACAGAGGCTCATATCGTGGCCACCCTGCCGTACGCCCGTCACGCCTTCTTACCCTCAGCTCCCAATATCCCCAAATCTGCCACTGCCACTTGGGGCCACCTTAACAAAAACCTCATGTGGAAGGTAACTAACTCACCGCAGCTAAGAAAAAAAGCTCGCTCACTCGCTCGCTCGCTCGTGTCGTGTATTGTTTCGATCGATCTTTTCCTTTCTCTCACTATGTTCTTCTGCCAATTGTTTCTCTAATTGACTGCATGGTGTGCCACGGTCTTTTTGTTGAATTTGATTCTCTTACTTAGTTCTCCAACACGTTTTCCCCATTACTTTTATGTTTCCTCGGTCTTTATTTGACAAGCACCTAGAGACACATTTTGCACACTTAGAGGACACCTCGTGGCTCGACCAGACCCGATGCTTCGAAACCGCATGGAGGTGTGGGGAAAATCGTTTCCGGTGAAAACATGTTCGTCGGATAAGAGCTTGCGTTTCCGTCATTTTTACCCGTTTTTCTACCCGTTTCTTTTTTTTTTCGTTTTTGTTTTTGTCTTTTTTTTTT